GGCAAGAACTAAATCGTGCCGTCTCTGTTCTTGCTGCTGCAATTTTTCGCATGTGGGTAGGTCTGAGCTGGTATTTTGTGCGGCACAACAAGAAGCGATACATTCGACCAACGTTAGCGGGTCCCCTTGGTGCCCCAGCTTCGCGTGTGTTTCCTGTTGGCTGAAGAAAAAAAGTCAAACAGGAGTTAGAACCCTGACCCTGCTGCTGCCGCTCCAAGAACCACAGGTTTTGTTCCGCCCACCAGCTTCAACCGCCGCAAATCCAGGGCCTTGAACATTTTTCCAAGCATGGGAAAAAGGTATTCTAGAGTGGTTGACTACGAAAGAGAGAAAAAAAATGAAGCCTTGGCCCCTGCAAGGCAGAATTTCCTGTAAAAAACCGTTTTTTCCTATAAAACTGCATAAACCCATTCTCCCTCTGTCGCCCAAGAGACTTACTCATAGGCCAGGACATCGCCTTTTCCGCTTTTAGACTTTGCCCAATCGTTGAGGAGCTTGCTGCAGCCCGCACGTGGACTCTGATATGAAAGAGTTTCCACGCTAAACAAAAGAGTTTCTTGCATGGCCTGCGCAGTGGCTCCACCGTGCTGGATATGCTGCGAGCACTCAGGAGGCCTAAGCCAGGAGCGAATCGTGCTTTGGGCCCAAAGAGTGGTCGACACTTGGCTTTGGGCAACACGCAGACCCTGTGCTCTACAGGCAAAAAAAAAAGAAACAAAAAAACCCCGAAAAAAAAACTAAAAGGCTGGCATAAGTGGCTTTTCAGCCCGTGTGAGTTTTCCAAACTAACTTGGCGGCCCTGAAAGCAGGGAGAGTCAGTTTCAAGCCCAGGAGGTGTGGAGGCCTGCACAGTAAAGCTTGTGATTGCGCCACTTGTGCACACCTTGTTTCTCCCCCCCGTCCCCCACCAGCAAAAAAACCGCCCTTGGCTCCACCATGCATTTGGCCTTCTTTCTTTGGCGTATTCCCAAACTGTTTCCCCACCTCTGAGGTACAGTGTGGAACTCCGCTTGCCGCGCCACTTTTGGGCGTAAACTCCAGTTGTAGCTCGGCAGAGAACCGGAGCGGACTTATGTCAACTACTTCCAAACGCTGCCCTCCATTTCGCCGCGCCAGCCTCATGTGTTTAGCAACGAGCGCCAAATTGCCTTTGTTAGGCCCACACTCCCACCAAGCACCTTTCATTTCACAACGCCTCCCTCAGTTCCGCACAATCTTTCTCCAGACACCCGCGTCAATTCCCCTGGGGCCCCTTGCATGCGCCTCCAGCCGGTGCCCTCTGTTGGCCGCGCGCCCATTTGTCTCGCTCAGTTTTAGTTACCCGCGCCGCCGCCAAGCCCCCCGCCGCGCCCGCTGCCCCCGCCCCCCGCCCACCCATACAATTTCCTTCCAGGTCCGCCACATGCCTCTCTAGATCCACTGTCCCCTCAGTGCCGACTGATCCCTTCCAGATCCGCCCACTCGCTCCTCCCGGTTCCAGAAGAGTGTGAACGCTGTCCCCTTTCCGATTCACCCGAGCGTGTTTCGCCGCTCCGGTCCCACTGTCCCCTCCAGGTCCCCAATGTCCCCATCTCCTCCAAGTGCCACCGTCCTCTCCAGGTCCCCACCGTCCTCACCAGGTCCCCACTTGTCCCCATCCCCTCCAGATCCCACCATCCCCTCCAGGTCCCCACTCTCCCCATCCCCTCCAGATCCCACCATCCCCTCCAGGTCCCAACTCTTGCCATCCACTACAGGTCCCACCGTCCCCTCCAGATCCCCACTGTCTCCATCCCCTCCAAGTGCCACCGTCCTCTCCAGGTCCCCACCGTCCCCTCCAGGACCCTACCATGTCCGCCAGATCCCACCATCCCAGGGCCCTCCAGCTCTCCCTCTGGGTCCCACCATCCCTGGGCGCCCCCGCACCACCGCACTCCCACCCCTAGAACCGCCTCTGTCTCCGCCCCTCTTCCAGCGCAGCCCGCACACTCCCCACCCACCGGGGATGTGCGAAGGAGGACCCGGGGTGTCAGCCACAGCGCGCGGACTGAGCCGAGGGAGTACGCTACGGCTTGGGCCGGGCCCCAAACAGACCACCGTTGTCGCTCACCCGGGAAAAGCCAGACGCGACCCACAGGCGTTCGCGGCGCCTCTACCCCTCGGCGCCTGCGCAGTGAAGACCGCGGCGAGCCGCGCGCATGCGTGTAGGGCCGAAGCCCCAGGGGCTGGTCGGGCGGAAACGCGGCGCTCTCTGTCTTCTGGTTTCGAGGCTGGTCCTTACCGTTTCCGCTCCGGCGGAAGTGAGGAGGAGGGTCCTTCGACCCGTGCGGAGCTGGATGGACCGCGAGACGCTCGCCCTTGCTGACCGCCACTTCCGAGGCCTGGGGGGTGGTGTCCCCGGCGTCGGCCAGGCTCCGGGCCGGGTAGCCTTCGTCTCGGAGCCGGGCGCCTTCTCCTACGCCGACTTTGTGCGGGGCTTCCTCCTGCCCAACCTGCCCTGCGTGTTCTCCAGCGCCTTCACGCAGGGCTGGGGCAGCCGGCGGCGCTGGGTGACGCCCGCGGGGAGGCCCGACTTCGACCACCTGCTACGGACCTACGGTGGGGCGGCGGGCACAGACCCCGGGCGGGGAGGACAGGCCGGCGGGACCCAGGCCCAGGAGGCCTCTGCCTAGAGAGGGGCACCAGGGAGGGTGAGGGGGGCCAGGCGCGTGGCCCTGGAGAGTTCCTCTGCAGACGGTTTGGAGTGAGGACGGGGCCCAGGGAGATAGCATGGACCGTCCCTGACTTTCATTTCAGGAGACGTGGTTGTACCAGTTGCAAACTGTGGGGTCCAAGAATACAACTCGAACCCCAAAGAGCACATGCCTCTCAGAGACTACATCACCTACTGGAAAGAGTACATCGAGGGGGGCTACTCCTCTCCCAGGGGCTGTCTCTACCTCAAAGACTGGCACCTGTGCAGGTAATGGGGTTTGGGACGCACCGAGGCGCTGCCTTTCCTAGCGCTGCGGGAACCCAGAGGCCTTTCTGATGAAGGTGGCCCCTGGCTGCACAAAGAGGAGCTATTTTTCCCCATGAGGCACTTTAATCTGTTTAAAAGAAACTGGATTGTCTTCCGCATGGCTGCAAGTGTTCTTCTTTGGGAGATCAGTATGTTTTTTTTCTTTTTTTTTTTTCTTTTGAGATAGATCCCCTCAGCCTCCCTAGTAGCCGGGATTACAGGCATGCACCTCCACGCCCGGCTAATTTTTTTTTTTTTTTTAAGAGACTACGTTTCACCATATTGCCCAGGCTGTTCTTGAACTCCTGAGCTCAAGTGATGCATCCACCTCAGCATCTCAAAGCACTGGGATTATAGGCATGATCAGTACTTTTTCATAAGCAGAACCATTGTGGTCAGACTGCCCCCACCCCACTCCCCCACCAGCAGCTGGCTCAGAGTAGGTGCTGGGGCTCTTTGGGGGCTGCAGCCATCTGAAAGCTCCACTGAAGCCAAGTGATCTCAGTTGCCCCACTCGTGCTGCCCTAGTCCTCGTGCCTCACGTGCTGTCGGTGGTGCCCTTGCGCCCTCCTCACAGGGACTTCCCGGTGGAGGACGTTTTCACCCTGCCTGTGTACTTCTCATCCGACTGGCTGAATGAGTTCTGGGACGCACTGGATGTGGATGACTACCGCTTTGTCTACGCAGGGCCTGCAGGCAGCTGGTGAGGCCACAGATGTGGAACCCAAAGGGACCCAGTGACAGAGCAGACCGGGAGGCTCAGGGTGGCAGGAGGGGTCTGCTTGGCACAGGCTTCACAGTAGGTGCCATTCCTTGAGACCAAGGGGCCACCCCTCCTTCAGTTGGACCAGGCCTCTGGGGTGCCAAACAAAGCCCATACTAGCCCCTACGGGCACGAACCAGGCGCTCTTGCTGCTGCAGGTCCCCGTTCCATGCTGACATCTTCCGCTCCTTCAGCTGGTCTGTCAATGTCTGTGGGAGGAAGAAGTGGCTCCTCTTCCCCCCAGGGCAGGAAGAGGCCCTGCGGGACCGCCACGGCAACCTGCCCTATGACGTGACCTCCCCGGCACTCTGCGATACGCACCTGCACCCGCGGAGCCAGCTTGCGGGCCCACCCTTGGAGATCACGCAGGAGGCGGGCGAGATGGTGTTTGTGCCCAGTGGCTGGCACCACCAGGTGCACAACCTGGTAATGTGCTGCTCTCCTGCCCCCTATCAGGGGCTTTCCTGCAGGAAGATGGCAGCTCCACCTACCCACTCTCCCAGCCAGAGTGGGGCTGGAATGGGGTGGCTCATGGGTGAGGCTGACCCTTTCACAAGGTGGTGTCACTGAGGCCTAACCTCTGTTTCACCCCCTTCCGGTCCCTGGGTCTACTTGCTCTGGGTTCACTGGCTGAGGTGGTCCGAGCCCACCACCCACTTCCCTGCTGAGCAAGCCCTGCTGGGAGACAGGAAGGCCTTCTTGGCTGCAGAGGGCTGGACCCCACAGTGGGTTCCTGGTGCAGGAGATGTGGGCTAGTTGGGGGCACCTGCCATGGGCTCAGGCCTGCCCGTACTGTGCCCCTTCCAGGACGACACCATCTCCATCAACCACAACTGGGTCAATGGCTTCAACCTGGCTAACATGTGGCGCTTCCTGCAGCAGGAGCTATGTGCCGTGCAGGAAGAGGTCAGCGAGTGGAGGGACTCCATGCCCGACTGGCACCACCACTGCCAGGTGGAGCAGCTGCGTGTGGAGGCTATCAGTGCCAGGTCCCTGGGAGGCCTGCAGGCTCAGGGCGGGTGTGGCTGTCAGGCCGAGCTGTGGGTAGGTGCCGGCTGTGACTGTGGGACAGCCTGGGCTGAGCCCTGGGGGAGGCTTTCAGGCTGCATGGCTCAGATTCCTTTGGTCACTGCCCGGCTTCTCAGCGCCTCTGTCTTATTGGTCCCCTCTTCGTCCTTGGGGACTGGGCGCATGTCGGATCCTTTGCAACTTGGACTGTGTCCATGGTGTCATCTCATTGGCCTCTTCCCTCTGCCCAGGTCATCATGAGGTCCTGCTCGGGCATCAACTTTGAAGAGTTTTACCACTTCCTCAAGGTGATCGCTGAGAAGAGGCTCCTGGTCCTGAGGGAGGCGGCCGCTGAGGACGGTGCTGGGTTGGGCTTCGAACAGGCAGCCTTTGATGCTGGGCGCATCACAGAGGTGCTGGCCTCCTTGATTGCACACCCCAACTTCCAGAGAGTGGACACCAGCGCGTTCTCACTGCGGCCCAAAGAGCTGCTGCAGCAGCTGAGGGAGGCTGTTGATGCCGCTGTGGCCCCATAGCACCTGTCTTGAGGACAGAAGGACGGGTGGATGAGAGGCAGCCTCCTGCTCCAGGGCCCTTCCAGAAATAAAGACTGCCCTCCCTGTGACCTGGGGCCCATCCCTGTCGAGGCTCGTGGCCTGCCTGTCCATGGCCACTGCCTGGGTGCCTGTTTTCAGGTGAGGCCCAATGAGGTCAGGGACCCAAGAAGGGATGTGGCCCTTCTGACCTGCAGCAGGCCTGCTGGGAGCTTGGAGATGGCGCCATGACCTGGCTCTTTTGGGGGCCCTGCCTCCTTAGGCCAGGATGCCTGAGCTGACAGGAGTCTGTGTCTGATGTGCCTTCTCTGGAGGCTCCTCTCAGCCCGGTCCTCTCGTGTCAGGCCATTGGGCCACCCCTGGCTCTGCCCTGTGGGCTCAGGAAGAGGTTGGAGCAGCGCTGGGCAAGCTCACCAGGGCCTCCAGGCAGGACTGGGTTGGCCTCCATCACCTCCAGGTGATGGGCTGTGGAGCCAGTGGCCAGGGCCTTCCTCTGGGTACCCAGAGGGGAGGGCTGGGCTGGGCTGGCCTCTGCCACCTCCCTGCCTTTGGAGTAGCCTTCGCAGGGCCTGTGGGCACCTGGAGAGGCCACGGGTGTGGGGGTGGAATCCCATCTGCTGCTGAATCCTCATTTGGGCCTGAGGGGCTGTGCCTGCTGTGCACTCACAGCTGGGTCTTTGCAAGGATGCTGTTCTCAGGAGTGGTGGGTCTCCGGCCCCTCTTCACACTGGGCATGATGGAGGTGTGGGCGGACTTGTCCAGGCCGATCAAGGCACAGTGGTGAGCAGTGGAGGCCTGTCGTGGGGAATGGACTCTCGTGGGATCCTTCTGCAGAGGATGCCCCAGGCCTGAACTCCCTAGTGGATCCACAGTTTGTGGAGACTGGCACTCTGCCAGCCCTGTCCTTGACCCAGAGTGCAGCACTTTTTCAGTTGGCCCCTGGTTGGCTGCCCCACCCCAGGAGGGGAGGAGTCATCTGAATCCGCAGGGATGGCGTGTGCCACGGCTGTGTGCATTGCCTGCCCATGGCATCCACTGGGGCTGCTGGCACTTGTATAGGATGGAAGCCCCTAAGAAGGGCTGGGGTTTCTGTCTGCTCTGTTCAATGAATCATGTGAAGTGCCTGCAAAAGCAGCTTTACACAGTAGGTGCTTCGTATGTGTCTGTCCAGTGAATGAGCTCCAGCCACCAATTTTCCAGGGACCTGTATGCTGGGCCCCCCTGCTAGCTCCCAGGGACCCCTGGTCTGCACGGAAATGCCCTGAGACATCATCCGGCCTCCTACAGATGGAGCTGGCACTGCCCAAACCACAGGTGGCAAAGGTGCTTTGTGGGGGAGGAGGGGGGAGGTAGCAAATATGCGTGACTGCAGACTTGCCAGGACCAGGCCCAGGCTGAGTGTGGGCGTAGCACACTCTTTTAGCCCTTCTAGTAACCTCTGAGCTTGGGCCTCTTGGCACCTACCACACAGGCTGAGGCCAAGGGTTGGGGTATGTGCCCTGGGCACTGCCAGCAGGCAGCTGAGGTGCCTCTGCCTGAGCTGGGGCTCCCCTTTGAGCAGCAGATCCAGCACCTGCAGGGGAGGGGCACCACCAGGTGGTGGGCACCAGGTGTCCTTCAGCTTCTCTCATGATGAGGGCAGCACTGAGGACCCCAGGGCAGCCCCCAATGCGAGCTGGCAGCTCAAGGTAGCACAGGTCGCAGCCCATTACCATCCAGGCTGCGTGCGTGGTCCTGCGCTCCTGAACTGTGTGTGAAGACCCTCGTGTTTCTGCAGTCAGGAGGCAGTGCACAGACACTCCCGAGAGCCCTGCTAGCCTCAGTCACTTTTTCTTAAAGCAAGCATTGAGAATCTCAGGCCGGGGCTGTTACAGGTGCAGCAAAGCAGCAAATGTTAGAAGCTCTGTGGGGGAGATAGAGCCCTCCGCAGGGCAACGGCTGAACTGCAGCTGGCATCGATGACTCCATACTCAAAGACCATGGACTCCTTTTGCCTACCTCCAGGTTGGCAAAACAAAACAAAAATGCTGACACCAGGGCCAGGTGGGTGGTGGGGCAGCCGCTGCGCAGAGTGTGGCTAGACAGCAGTTTGAAGTATCAGGCCGGATGCCCCTTTCCCAAGTATGCTGCCCTGGGATCCTGTCCAGGGTTGGGGAGGCATGTTGTCAGCACATGTGAGGGTCTTCGCAGAGTGAAGCGCACCTCTGCAAGAAGCCTGAAAGGCTGCATCGCCCTGAGAACCAGCCTCCTGGAGTGCGAGGTGAGGAGCTGCAGATGTGTGGCAGTTAGGCCCTGCCCTTTGCATGTCATCCCTATCAAGTGTGAGAAAGGACAGGCAGGCTGCAGCTAACTGGTGCTCCAGAGGAAAGGGGTCAGATAAACAATGCAGATGCTCGACCTAAGGCTACGTGTTTGCTGCACAAAGATGGATATACTTGCAAGTGTGGGGACAATGGCTGTGCACCCCACCATGCCTGGGTGAGGGCGTGCAGTGGCCGAGATTCCTTGGGGAGTGGGACCTGTGGGCCCCCACAGGAAGGCTGGAAAAGTCAGGCCCTGCTGTGTCTGCACAGACTCTAGCCTGGGAGGACACAGAGCAAGGGAGCATGATGGGGCCTATGGGTGCCTGCCCTGCCCTGAGCGTGCAATTGTGATTGGCTGGAATCCGTGGAGGCAGAGACAGGAGCCCCAAGTCAAGTCGTTGCTGGCTGTGGCGAAGCCAGGTTCTCTGCATCCAGAGGGCTGTGGCCTCCAGAGAAGGTGTCTCCCCCAGGGACCAAGACCATCCTCATGCTTGTGCCCTTCTGCCCACTGAGCCAGCAGAAGGGGCAACTCCTTGGCCAGCTACCCTGAAGCCCACATCCCAGGTGTAGGGCATCCCTGATAGCCACGTCCTACCCTTTGTTCATCCATGCTCCAGAGTGTCAGCCTCAGCCCTGTCCCCCATCCACCACTGTGGGTGGTTGTGGCAGGTAATGGTGCCAGCGTCCCACCCAACTGCAACTACCAGCTGCATCTTGGATCCCCAGGCAGACAGAAAGCAGGCCCTGGTTTCCAAGTCAGTGACTCCTTCCACTGGCGTAGAAGGCTTCATTTCCAAGCCCTGGCTTCACAGGCTTCCCTCCCACCTGTCCAGGGAAGGGGAGAGGGGATGTGGGGTGGGGAAAGACATCATCCTCAGAGTTGCAGGGCTGATCCAGGAGACCCTGGCCTAGCCCAGGTGGTCAGTCATGTGGTCATTGCCAATGGCTACAACCTTGGGCCACTAGAGGAGCATGGACAGTCCTTTTCCCTAAGCCCTGGGCCTGAGCTTGGCCAAGGGTAGGGAGCAAGATGTCCAGTGTCCTGTGGTCTGTACCCCCCAAACTCAGCAGCCCTGGAGGCAGGAACTCCAGGGACCTGGGCCTCTCTCTCCTGCCTGGGGGCTGACCCCAGAAGTCCCCTTCCACAGGCCCCAGTTACCCTCTCACTGCAGGCTCTGACCTACAGGAAAACAGCTGGAGCTGGGCTCCTAACCTGTTCCTCTGGGAGAGCCAGACCCTGTCCTGAAGCTAGAGGAAAATCCACGGGTAGAATCCTGCATAAGCACACCCCAAATAGACCCCACCTGGGGCCCCAGGCCCCAAACAGACCCTGCCTGGACCTCTGGCCCCGCCTAGGGAGCCGGATGCCGGTGGATCCTGGCCTTCCTCTGCAGCCTGCCACCCCCTCCCCTGCAGGAAGGCACCAGAGTGTCCACCCCCGCGGCCCCACTCAGAGATGCGTGCCTGCTCCCATTGGAGGCTTTCAGCCCCAAGGCAGGGCCTGCCTGCTCCCTAGACCGGTCCCCTGGCCTCTGCCCCGTGTCGGGAATCGGGGTCTTGGATATTACCTTCAAATCCGGCCAGCTTCCCGCCACAGCGAAGGAGAATCGGACGCCCCGTGCCAGGGACTTGCAGCAGGGACGTGGGCCAGGTCCTCACTGCCTTTGCTTCTGGGACCCTGTGAGGGCAGGAACCGGAGTCTTGCCCTCATGACTTTGGTTGGCGGCAGTGCCAGGTGGGAAGTTTCCGGTCGGGCACTGCGTGGGGGCGGGAGGGACAGGCGGGGAGGAGGCGGGATAGGGAGGGGAGGGGCGGGAGGGCAAGGTGGGGCGGGGATGGGAGGGAGGCGGGGAGAGGACGGGATGGGAGGGGCAGGCAGGGCGGGCCGCCGGGGTCAGGATGACCCTGGGGCTTCCCTGGCTTCAGGTGCCTTCTGAGCAGAGCTGGGTCCGTTGCCCCCTGGTGGCAAGCACGGGCCCTGCAGCCCCAGCTGAGAAACCAGTAACAAAACCTTTCCCTACTCTTGTGTCCCTGGGGTCCAGGTGTCTGAGGAAGGGGGGTTAGGGATTCCAAGTTTGAGGTGTAAATAAAAAAAAATGACCACAGCAAGTCTCAATCATTTTAAGAGGTTTATTTTCCAAGGTTAAGGATGTGCCCAGAAAAGAATATAGAACCACAGGGAAAATTGTGGTCCATGGTTTTTCCAAGGAGAATCTGGGGACCTCAACATTTAAAGGGAAAAGGGTGGGTATTGGGGATTGAGGAAGAAATTTTGAAAAGGGTGTGAGTAAATAAGAGGCAAGTGGTTGCATCCTTTTGAGTCTTTGATCAGCGATTCAATGAATACACAATTTACATGTGGGGGGCGGGTAGAGAAATAGTCACTTACACATTTGTCTAGCTTGGTGAATCTGCATTTTTACGTAAGATAAAATAAACATAGGGCAGAGGAAGCAATCAGATATGCATATATTTCAGGCAGAGGGATGACTTTGAGTTCTGTCCTTTGTTGCATACCTGTGAATATAAGCTATCAATGTACATTGTCAGGGTGAAATGAAACAACTGTTTTTGGGTAAAAATCTTGGGGCCCACAATTTGTGGGCAAATTGTGAGAGAGGTGCGATGCCTTTTTTTTTTTTTTTAATCTTTGTAGCTATCTTATTTAGACACAAAATGGGAGGCAGGTTTATGTGACCCAGTTTCCAGATTGACTTTTCACTTTGGCTTATTTAGTTTAGGGTCTTGAGATTTACTTTCCTTTCATAGGGGCAAGAGGGCCCTGGGAAGATCAAGGCTAGCTTCCAGGTTCCACAGAATGGAGTCACTGAGGGTCAATTGTAGGATAAGAAAGTGTGGAAAGTAGATAAGTTCCTCTTCAGAGCTCGTCTTAGTTTAAAAATAAAATAATCGACACTAGAAATAATAGCTTCTTAGTCTAAAGCCCCCTATCAACTATTAGTTCTTACACTTTAGCCCAGTTAGTTGCTTTGCCTTAAGCAAAGCATGTCTGGCATGTCCGAACAGGCCCTTGCAAGTCTTAGTTCATAGCTTATTCCCCTTCCTTATTTGGAAATGTTATTGCTTCTTTAAACCTTTCATAAGCAATTTTCTCTCCTTTGTTCTCCCTTGCACTTACCTATTTACGAAAGTTTCAGGTTGTTAGCAAATCAGGTTCAGTTTAAGACTGTGAGGTCCAGCTTCAGCCAATGGATGCAGGACACAGCAGAAAGACGACCCAAATGTGTAAGGGATAAATATGTCTGCTTTTCCTTTGTTCAAGTGTGCTCTCGTCATTGTTCCATCTGCAAGGGGCACCCTTACTGAGCGAAAGTAAAAATGGCCTTGCTGAGAGAATTAAGTTTATGTTCGAGTGCTATTTGTTTGTGGCACTGGGGAACAAGCATTTCTAATAGGATACTGGAATCTGAACAAGGCAGGGCATGCACCAGGAAAATAGAAAACCAGAAGGAGGTCTTGGGCAAGAGTGAAACCTCTCACACTCCTACCCACCACCCCCCAAACTTTACCCCCACTTTGCTCCACCCTCCATGTCACCACTCAAGGTCAGACCAAGTCAATGACTCAAACTCCACATTTTGTTGTTTGAAGAGGAAGCGCAGTGATGGCAGGGGCTCCAAGAAAACCCTGTGCAGGATCTCCTGCCTAGTTCAGATCCACCTCACACACACACTTGTCAATGAAAAGAGTCAAATTCTGTAAAATATTTGAAGAGATTTGTTCTGAGCCAAATATGAGTGTCCATGGCCCATGACACACCCCTCAGGAGACCCTGAGAACATGTGCCCAAAATGGTTGGAGCACAGCTTGGTATACATTTGGGGAGATATGAGACATCAATCAAATGCATTTAACATATGCGTT